AGTAGCCGTGGGCTGCCTTGCTGTGGGCCAACACAGAGCATCAGCATTTTGCACTGTGTGCTGGGACCCAGACTTGTTCTTATTCACAAGGAAGGAGGAAGCCATTGCGTTCAGAGAAGTGAAAGCCCACATGATGTTCTCTGCTATTTTCAAGACGTTTTCTAGGTAAAGCCATTTCTTAAAAACACAAGCCCCACGCCGGTTGGTACTTCCCAAATAGGAGTTGTTCTGTCCCCTGTGGAGGCGCTGGCTGCAGACAGCCCCGGACATCTGCTCCTCATTTCCTGCCTTTATTTTTTTTTTTTCTTAATGTGAGAAGATCCAGAGTCATGCAGTGCTAAATAGAATTTCTGGATCCCCTGTAATTTAATTTTCTCCCTTATTACACTGACGACTCGAGAGCTCTACAATAAGCATAGGCTGAGGGCATCTCCAGAGGGAGAGGCCACCTTTGGCTCTGGGGACCCTGTGTCTGGCACTGATTGCCTTGCCCGGGACAGAGGAGGGATGCTGGGTCAGTTCTGGATGGCTCTGGGCCATACCCCCCAGTGCCATGTCCTTGGAAAAGCCATTGAGGTTTCTCCAGATTGAAGCCTGGGAATCAGGTCCCACACCAGAGGTGTGAGCATCAGCAGGACAAAGAGAATCCCCCTGTGAGCAGAGCTGGGGTCCTCTCTCCTCTGCAGCACCAGGACCAGCCACATCTTCCCCAAAGCTGAGCGTTCCAGCAAGCCGCTGGGACAGGGACCAGGGACAACACTGGGGACAGCAAAGGGTGCATTAATACCCCCTGTTGGGGTGCTGGGCTTCCCTGCTGCAGGAAGACCAACTCCTGAGGTCTTGGGAGCCCCTGAATGGCCCATGCAGTGGCGATCCTCCGCATTCTCATCCGATCAGCTCAGGCATCTCTTTCTTCCAGGCCACACACAGCCCTCTAGGTCTCACTGACTTTTCCTTTTTCTCCAGCCGTCACCTGATTTCCAGGAAAGCAAACCTACTGTAACAAACAGCCCAGAGTCCTTCTTGCACAAAGAGCCAAGAATAGCCAAGGAGCATAAACTTCCAGTGTGGAAACACCCTGGAGGAGATGGGCCGTGTTCCGGGGCCGTTTCCTCTTCATTTAGGACACAGCCCTCCTTCTCTTTGCATATTGTTTTCCCTGTTGCCTTTGCAGGGTCAGGTTGCTTTTAGCCTTCAAGAGCAATTCTCCCGGCATCAGTTGTACGTTCCGTCCACCTCAGCTCCCTGTGCAGCTCGAGCACCTGCCCACGGGCAGCCCTGGCAAAGCTGCGGCGGGTGGGAAGTGCTGGAGCTGCTTTCATGTCTCTCATGGGGAGGATGGGATCTGGCCCTTTGGCCAGTGATATCTGTGGTTTGGGGCAATAAGCCAAGCTCCTGGCTAATGGTTGCCAGCGAGCAACCAAAGGTTAGGGGTATGGCATCAGAGCAGGCTGCTGAGCGTGCCTGGTGCTGGCACCAACGCCCGGTCCGTGACAGAACCTGTTCTCCCTTTCTCCGTGGCACAGCCGGCATTTAAGTAGCAGGACCTCCATCCTGATAGGGAACTGTCCCTGGAGCAGGGCAGGAGCTGCAGCCAGCCAGCCCAGACTCCAGCCTCAACACCACCAGCCGCAGAGTCCTTGTGTGCGTGCTGAGGATCAGACCTGGAGCTGCGTAGGTGGCCCCGAGGGTACGGTCCCAGCCCAAGGGGCATGGGTCCCGCTGCCCATGCTCCATAGCCCGGGCACAGCCCTACGTTTGCTCGTGTTTTTTTCCTTGTCCACATTTCAGATCAGCCCAAGGGCCTTCCTCCCTCATACTGCAGTTAAAGTACATGGGGGAAGATACCCAACCCTCTTTCTAGTGTCTTCTGCTTTTCTCTGGTGCTAGACCACCCATCCAGAGAGCCGGTGGGTGCTCGGGGTGACCGCGAGAAGCTTCCTTCCAACCCCCCTAAGGAAGAATGGGAAAGGACTGGGCTGAGCTGCCCCAGCCCACGGTCTTCACTGGAAGGATGTGACATTCGTGGTGGCCTTGCTTCCTCCTTGGTCTTGGTCTGCTTGGTTTTGTTTTTGTACATTTCCTTAGTGTGGTCTGTGTTCCCTGGTTCCCAGTTACTCAGATGTTCTGCTCTTTGTTTCCTTGAAAGCTGTCTGGCCCTCAGGGTTGCACGGTCCATGGCTTGGGCACTGGGGTTCGTGTTTCTGGACTGGGGTTGCTGGTGTCCTCCTCTGCCTGCCCTCCTCCCCATCGCCATTTAATCTATAGCCCCAGACCCACACTGAATAACTTCTTGCTGTTCCTAGAAACTAAAGCAAAACTAAATCAAATGAAGACAACAGCAATCGCCTGGACAATTTCTATCGTAACTAAAATCAGCTGAAGCCAAGACGAGCCCAGAGAAGATCCTTCACTGTCAGATCAATACAACGCCTGTGGCCCATTGCTCATTACAGCAGAATTATCTCCTGGGCTGCAGCAGCTCCTCTGACTTTGGGTTTTTCAATGCTTCAAGAAGTGCAGGAAGCGGCTGGAGGGACAGATGTGCGCTGGACAATTTCTATCGTAACTAAAATCAGCTGAAGCCAAGACGAGCCCAGAGAAGATCCTTCACTGTCAGATCAATACAACGCCTGTGGCCCATTGCTCATTACAGCAGAATTATCTCCTGGGCTTCAGCAGCTCCTCTGACTTTGGGTTTTTCAATGCTTCAAGAAGTGCAGGAAGCGGCTGGAGGGACAGATGTGCGGTGGGACCAGGAGGGTGCCGTAGGAGGTGGGTTGGGATTGGCGGTGCTGATTAGCTGCCAGGAGCAGCCCAGGCTTGTCACTGCTTATCGGAGCTGCCCGCTCCCGTCGGAGCTGGTTGCTGTGCCTCCGTGTCCCGCTCTTGGTGGGACAGCAGGGCTTGCTGGTGGCTTAGACCCACGCCGCTGCCGGCGCTTGAAGGTTCACCGTGTCCCACGGAGCCGCACCGAGGCTGCAGCCACCTTCCATCCTCCTGCTGTGGGATTTCCTTCTGCAGATGCCACCTCTGAGTGCATGTGCCACCTCCAACTCCAGCTGCCCGGCTCACTGGGAGCAAAGGGAGGGCTCCGAGAGCGTCCTGGAGGTGTCCCCCGCCAGGTAAAATGCCACCAGCCCAGTCCCTGCAGGAAGAGCAGCCATGTCACCCTGCCAAAGAGAGGTTTGTCCCTTCAAATAACAACACCAGCGGCATGTCACGCCTTTAGCAAACAAAGCGCTCGCCCTCCCACTTTATGTGCCTGCTGGAGCCCTTCCCCGGTTTTATCCATTGCTGGCAGTAAAACCTTTGCTGAAGCAGCAGAACCTGTTTCTTCAGGGGAGAAGGGAGCATGTGGGCCGTGCCATCGCTTCCAGCCAAGCGCCCGATGGCCTCGGGCAGCGCCGGTTCCCGGAATAAAAATTTCCTGTAAGGTTCTGCCCAGCCTGAGAAAACACCATTTGGGGAAGGGGCCAGCAAACATCCCAACAGACAATCTGTCGGGATAGAACAGGCTATTTTAAGGTCTTAATTTTAATTTTATTTCCTTGAAATGGGTTTTCTTTTCTATTACCATATAAACAAAGGCTGAAGCTACAGGCTGGGAATTTCACCGAATGTTTTAAAAACGCATCATGTGGAAACTCGGGGGTTTTCATTCCTTAGGAATAAAATCCCAACTGGAGCTGTTGGAATTTCCCACAGCCCAGAGAAGTCCAGTTTCCACCAGCCTTAAGAAAACTCTGGGGGAAATAGATTTCAAGAGCAGTTACACCATCTCAGTCTTGATCTTTATCTTCATCTTCCAGCGGAGGGAGTTGGCAGGGGAAAATTGGTCTGTGTTCTGCTGGGACCTGAGATGAAAGAGAAAGTAAAGGTGCAGGATGTGACCGCCGGGCTGGTATGTCCGTTCCAGACATGGCTCCATGCTGGTGCTGGGAGGCCCCTCGGCCAGCCTGGTTGTTTGCAGCCCTGGGGGGCACGGTGCTGCTCTCAGCATCAGCAAGGCTCCAGCGCTGAGCCCCTGATGGATACCCACAGGCAGGGCTGTAGGGACACGCAGAAGCCAGCGCAGGGGACACAGAGCTGCCTGGGGACACCACTGGGTCCCTGCTTTGGTGATGCCCCTGAGGCGCAGCCTGGTGTGAGCTCACCACGTTGATGAATTTGTAATCCCAGTTAGTAAATCCCAATTAGCAAATCCCAGTTAGTAAATCCCAGTTAGCAAATCCCTCCTCTTTTGGCCCAACGCTGCTGTTAGAAGGCGCCTGCCAGAAAGGAAGGCAATAGCTGCTTTTGCATTCGGGGGTAAATAATGAGCTTATTGAGCGTGGGGGAGCGGCGGTGGGAGGTGGGGAGATCTTTACCAGGCGAGGGGCAGCGGTGCCTTAGCACAGGCTCTCCGTCTGAGAGACACGGGGGTGGGAGAGGAGGCTGGAGCAGCTGACTCCTGAAAGTCCCTGCCGGGATAACTTGCCAAGGAGGCTGGAGCAGCTGACTCCTGAAAGTCCCTGCCGGGATAACTTGCCAAGGAGGCTGGAGCTGCCCTGCGTGCGCTAAGAAAAGCTGATGTAAGTGCAGCTGGGGAATTCCAGGAGCTGTTTATCACTGGAGCAGGCAATATTCCCTCCCCTGTCCTGCTTCTTCCCTCCTCCTCCTGTCGTCACCTTGAGACGTGTGCGCGGGAGCCGAATAACAGCCAAAACCTCGTCTCGGGGCTTTGTGATCCTGGAATGAGCTGCAGCAGCTCTGTTGCTCCGGAGGATGCAATAAGTCGTCAGGAGTGGGAAATACTGCCCGGAATCCTTCCCCGCCGACCCTTCCTACTGCCGCCCACGGGAACATGAGGGCTGGTTCTCTCCAGGTCCTGTTTGTGCTGGGGGTCCTGTGCCTGCTGACCCTGGCTGGAGGTGAGCCGCAGCTCGTCACCCCTGGGTTTGTGCCGGGGCTGCAGAAGCGGCGGGGACAGGGGAGGAAGGCGGTGCTGGATTGGGCTATGGGCACCCGGGGAGATCTCGCAGCAGCATCAGGCTGGGCTTGGGAAGCGGCAGGGGGACCGTACGGTGGCATTGCCGGCAGCAGGGACATCTGAGCAGCCCCATGTCAGCTTCTCTCACTGCTGAGGGCAGGTGGGGAGAGTGTCGGCGAGACTTGCTGATGATCCAGATTAGAAAAGAAGTGGAATGCACTTTTCTTCTGCTTTATTTTCATGTCCCCTAGGGACATGCGGTGGGGGCAGAGCACAGCCTGTCCGCGGATGGATGTCTGTCCGCAGATGGATATGTGTCCGCGGATGGATGTCTGTCCGTGCATGGATGTCTGTCCACAGATGGATGTCTGTCCGCAGATGGATGTGTGTCCACAGATGGATGTCTGTCCGCATGGGCTCCCTGTCCTGAGGTGCTAGTGTTCCCATCGCTGCTGGGCAAGGGGGGTGTCTCCTGTGGCTCTGCTGCCCATGGTGTGTGCACAGGTCAGAAACATCCTCCCGTTGGCTGGATAAAGATCTTTGTGTGCTGCGGGGTGGTGCTGAGCCGGGGAGGCCAGGGGGAGGTGGGTGCACCTCTCCCTGGGTTGCTCTGGGTTTAAGTCGTCTCTGGCACAGCTCAGCGGTCGCTGCCTGAGGCTGCAGTTAAGCAGGGTGGGTTGCCAGGCTGGCAGCCAAAGCTGGACTTAGCCCAGGACAAAGGGATGATCTGTTCCCACCAGGGGAAGGGAAAGGGGCAAAGAGCCCTTAAGATCTGTGTCTGCTGCCACCAGACGGGAGGAGCGAGGACAGCACGAAGGGTAGCTGGGGATGGAGCATCTTCCTCTCCTCGCACCTCCGGGCAGGTTCTCCAGGGCTGGCTCCAGTAAAGCAGGCAGTGAGGACACCGAGCAGCTTCCCCTGCCCTGGGACCCCCCCGCCTGTCACCCAGCTCTGCTCGGCGGGGCCAGAACCATGCAATCAGGCTGGCGCTGCAGAAAGGAAGGCTGGGGAGCTCTCTGGCCAGGGTCTCTTGAGGAACCGTGCTGAAAAGCAGGTGCCAATGGCTCCCAGGAGCGGTGCTTCCAGGTAGATAAACTCCCAGATCCCAGGTGTCCCTGAGGTCCCTTTGGCAAAGACTTGGATGCAGCTCGGAGAAGTGGAGGAGGGGGACAAGCAGAGCTCCGTGCTCCCCACGACACCATTCCCTCCTTGGAAGGTGCTTTCCAAGCTCCTCCACTCTTAGAAAAACACACCAGGAGTTCAGCTCATTGCAAACCAGTGATTTGTGATGCCAGTAACTGGAAAATCAGAGGTGACCAGAGGGCCTTTGGGACAAGTCCTCCCCAGCTCCCCGCCGTGCACCTCCCTGGCTGTCCGCAGGGATGGATCTGGCCCTTTGGTGCTGTGCCTGTTTTGCTGAACGGTGCTCCTGAAGGTGAGGGACACCAGCAGCATGTCCTCTGGCTAATAAGAGTTAATTGGGAAGTTGGTCACCCCTGAGCGGGTATTTTTGACCCTGAAGTGCCGCAGATGTTACTGTGTGAGCAAAGAGCTTTGCTCTAATGTTCCAGAGACCCAGAGGCTCTGTGCTGCAGGAGGGTTTGCTAGGGGTTTCTTTGCAGTCATGGGTTTCCCCAGGAGATGGGTCAGAAGAGCTGTGGGTGGTCCTGGCGCCATGCTCCTTGGAGCCACTGGCTGGATCATTCCCAACTGACCTGCATCAAATCCACCCTATTCCTTTGGGAATCTGAGACAACGTTTGGCAGAAACTCCCTCATCTAAACCAGGCTCCAGCTCCTTTCTTCACGGGGGTCTCGGATAAGCCAGGGCTTGTTTTTCAGAACAAATGGCCGGGATGTGTAGTGCAGCCTCCCCTGGCTGGGCTAACGCTGGTGGAGTCTGGGGGCGCAGGAAGGAAGGGTCCCCAGGGGGGTGACTGGCTTTGCCCCTTGAAGAGGTCAAGTGGGGTTTTATTTGGCAAAATGAAAACCGTGTTTTCCCGTGGAGAGAGAAAGAGACGTTTGGTGAGAAACTGTGCTGTGAAGCTGGGCTGCTGAGATACTGGTGGGAGCAATGGATTGTTCATCAAAAGGTTCTTTCTCTGCACCTTTTCTCCGAGTCTAAGTGGCGTCCAGAGCCCAGCAGAGAGCGAGGCAGGATGCTGGCCTGGAGGGGAAGTCCCGCAGGAGGAAGAGATACTAGCTATTATGAAGAAAATTAACTCTACCCCAGCCAAACCCAGCACACTGCTCCGCGTGAGGAGGGGACACGCATCCTGTCCTGGAGGTGCTGCACCGCCTGCACCGAGAGCCCGTCGGTGACCATTGCAGCAGGTCTTTCGGGGACAAAGACATGTGTCTCCTGGGCACTGTGCTCAGAGCAGTCCTCCTGCAACCCTGCAGGTCCAGGTGCTTGCACAAAGGTCCTCCCTCCAGCCAGTGCTTGCACATCCTATAAGGCAAGCTGCAACTGTATCCCAAGAGCCCAGCAATTTTCCCAGTGCTTTTTATTTAATCCGGTTTTCTGGGTACCTTGTCACCTGTTTGGGTGATGCAAACAATTGTGGCCCTGGTGGGATTTGTCTTCTCATTTTGGCAGGGATTGGAAACTTTCATGACAAGCTTTGGACTCCTTCTCCCTGGAGAAGGTGACAGTGCCAGTTTTTATAGTACCTAACAAAAAGTGGAAGTTTACTATTTCTTTTTTTTTTTTAATTACTTTTTATTTCAGGGCAACCCAAAGCACCTCTGAAGTGTTCAACAGAGTGCCGGGGTTTTACATCCGGGCTAGCAGCGAAGCGGATAAGGAGCTACCGCAGGACCGAACCCCACTGCACCAAACAAGCCGTCATGTAAGCGCTGCCCCACCGCCCCCCTCCCTGGCCCTGTGCCCCCAACACCGACTGAGCGTTTGCCCGGCAGCAAATGCCCTTGCTTTGGAGCAAGGAGCAATCTGCTGGAGTGCTCAGGCATTGGAACAGGCTGGCCAGGGCGGTGGGGGAGGCACCCTCCCTGGGGGGGGGC